CTAATAAAGGCCTCTTCTGGCAGCATAGGTGTTCGCAGGCCTGCTTAGAGGGATTTAGAGACAATTTGCTGCCTTTATGCCTGTGGAGAGGTTAATGAGGGAAAGCCCTGCCATCTCAGAACTTCCCAGAGCCTGGGCTGCAGTAGGGGCCAACCGTATTCAGGACCAGTTGGCCGGGGCCTAGCCTAAGGCCCCACCTTTGGCTCTTGCAAAGCCTAATATCCTCCAGGAGGGCCCAGAGCCCACTGGGACGATGCTGTCATTTTACATCAGGGGTCAGGAAGGGGGCTCCACTGCGTGCAAGGCTTAAGCCCAACCGCCCCCCGCCACCAGTGCCCCTTCTTGGGACCTCTCACAGCCACCGTGCCTTGCCTTCTGTCAGGGTTTGCCTTCAGGGGAGGCATGGGCCCACTGACCTTTCGAGGCCTCATCCTATGGCAGCTGCCCCTGCTTGGCCAGTACCAGAAGGCGGCCCTCTGGTACTGGCCAAGCAGGGGCCAGTACCAGAAGGCGGCCCTCGCCCTTGGAGCCTGGAATCAGCCAGAGTCTACAGATGGGCAAACTGCCCCCTCCCACATGTCCTGCATCGGTAACTGGGGCCTGTGGCCCCTGACATCAGCAGGGCTAGGGTCAAACGGAGGTCCATCTTCTAACAAACCATTACATAAAATATGTTCTGTCTTCCTACCTTAAAAATATACCATTCAAAGGCCAGATCTGAACTTGAATTCCCGTGCTGGAACAAGACAGCAGGGCTGTTCTTCCATCCCCTGGTCAGGCCCCCATGGCCTCCAAACCTGCTTGCCCTCCCACCTGGGTTTTTCTCCTGATAGGTTGGCCATCAAACATTCCATATATTTTACTACATTTGTCATCCTTCTCTCCCTAGAAGTGGGCACCATGAGACAGGGATTTGGTCCATTGTGTTCATGGCTCTATTTTAACGCCAGAACTCGGCTGCCACAGGAAAGGGCTCAAATATATTTGTTGAATGAGAGAATGAATGGGGTTAGAAATACCCATTAAGTCTTCCCTTTGAAAATGCAAATGCTCAGGACAAGAAATAGTCCTCCAGGGTCTAGAAGAACAGCTGTGTGCTGGCAAATGTTTAACACCTGGCTCTGATGACGTAAGGATATACGTTTATTACCAATTTTACAGATATAAAGGTTGTGCAGCAGACAATTTACAGATAATCACATATACAATATTCTTAATTATAAAGTCCCTTTTAGCAATAATCAATAATCAACTGACCATCACAAGTGAGTTTTGCCAACTCTTATGTCTATTGCCAGCCTATGGTTTTGATTCCACAGTGATTTGACAAGCGAGCTTGTATGTCAATGAACGCAACTCTTTCCCCAGTGAATGTGTTGTCATTAAATCTGGTAAATGAACTACTGTTAAACTATTTCTCACCCTTCTATAAATTACATTCATTAAACTGAAATCTTTTAAATCTTCAACACTACTGATTGCAGTAGGGTTAAAATTTTGTTTTGTATAGATGCAGAGATCAGAACATTGCTTGATCCTACATTATTTAATAATGGCTGATTTTAACAACCAGGTCACAAAATTCTTAAAACCATACCACCCTGCTCATGCTAGCTAGAGCAAGCAGGACCCAGCACATGTGTGGGTGCCAGGCCCAGTGTCAGACACATGATTGGCATTACCCTTTCTGTCGCTCACAGCAGCCTGCTGAGGCAGTGTCATTACTCCTACTTCACAGATAAGAAAACCGAGGCTCAGAGGTGACTGGACCAGGTCTGCTGGCTCCAAGGTCCCTGTGCTTCCCACTCTAGCAGGCTGCCCCTGTCCGGTCCTGCATTCATTCATTAAACATTGGAGGCCACCCTCTTGGTGTCAGATACTGGGATACAAAGGAGATCAGTGAGCCTCCAAGCAGGCGTGGGTAGGGGACTGCTGAGGCCGGCAGCTTGGTTTAAGACTTGAGTCACCACCTTCTCTTTTACACTTGGGCAAGAGCCCTGCCCTGGGCTTTGTGTTTTAAATGCACTTAGGCTGGCCCTCTCGGGGGTGAGGATATTGAGGGGTCTGTGAGGAGGCAATTGCCTGGAGCCTGCAACCCACCCACTCCTGTCTAGACCAAGCTCTGGGCACCCAGAACACTGGATACCTGCACAGGCAACCTTAGGCCCACCTCCAGGGCCCGAAGGACTCGACCTGGGCTCTTCCGGGCTCTCCCCTGCCCACATCTGGGCCCCTGAGTTCTCTTAACTCAAGTCTTTCCTCCTAGCCTGTTGGAAACAGAACTATGCCTGGGTGAAACTGAAGCCTGCTTAGAGGCAGGCAAGTTAGGGGCTCAGGGAGAAAGTGCTCCAAACACCAGAGCGAAGCATGGTGTCAGGGCAAAGAGACCTCAGAGACCACCTAAGCTAGCCCCCCATTTTACAGATGGGGAGACTGAGGCCCATGGAGCAGGGAGTGCAGCCTGAGCTCTTCTATCTCTGCCAATCACAAAGCCCCCTCTTTTGTTTGGCCCTCAAGCCAGTGAGTGGTGTCTCTCCCCCTCTCCTATCCTCTCTCCCCCAAATCCAACAATCAGTTTTCAGAGGAAAACCTGGTGAGCTATTTCCCCTCTCACCCCACCTTCTAAATCCCACTGACAAATGTGATACCAACATTTCTACCCCTGAGCCTCCACCGAGTAGTGGTGTCCCTAGAAGCAGCGGGCCCCTGGCCCATGGGTGGGCCAAGCATTCCCGCCAGCCGCCTTCCTCGGGACCCACACAAAATAAGCAGAGCAAATTGCCTAATGAGACCCACATTTTGCTGTGAGTTGTTAATTAACAAGCAAACTTAACCTACCATTAATTTGGTCCTGGGAAAGAAACTTGGCCTGCAGCAGAGAGGAAAACAGTCAGGGAGGGGCTTCACGAACACGCCCCCCACCCCCACCCCTAGCACACCAGCAAGGCGGGCGACACGGACCCCGCTTACCATGGCAGGGCCTCCCGCTGCTCCCAGAACCGCCTCCTTGGTGCCCCTTCTTCCCAGCTCTAAGTCGAAAGTCTGCCAAGCAGGGTGGAGGCCCCAGTAATAAATCCTCGGCTGCCATGGAGACCAGGCCCAGCGCCAGGGGTCAGATTCCAGCTTCCCATGCACAGCTGACGCCCCGTCCACTACCTGGGCGGGGCGGCAGGTTTGATTTTGAGAAAATAGGCCTACAGACTGGCTCTCCCGCGATTCATTTCTGCATCAGGATGTTGATGCTCTGCGGCAAACACCACTTTTCCTTACTGGGGGCCTCCATGGACACTGAAAAGGGATCAGTGATACGCAGAAAGGGACTCCGGAGTGGGGCTGCTCCTGGGCCCCACCTCGGCCTGCCTCGGTTGTGGGTTCTCTCGTTCCCCTGGGACTGACAAGCTCCTGCTGGGTGTCCGCAGCGCACTGTCTTACCCAGAGCTCACCCCACACCCTGCCACCGAGGCGCAGCACAGCCGAAGGCGCCTCCAACGCCAAAGGTTTGGGATGCAGTCCGCAGAAGGGACACAGGCCCTGGCGCTCTCAGGCTGGATTCAAAGCCTTCCCTTCTGCCTGTTTGCTGAGTGACCTTGGGGCTGCTCTGTGCCTCTGTCTCCTTGCTGGGCCTCATCCCAGAGCTGAGGGGATCATGTAGCCAGCGTAGTCTGTTCTCAGCAGGTATCAGTTCTCTGCCTCCCTCCCTGGTCCCTGGGGTAGGGGTTGGGAAAGTGCCAGCTCTGGGTCTCTTGGGTGACTTCCCTGGGCGAGGGCTCCTCCTTTCCTTCCTTTTCCCCCTCTTCCCCCACCACAGCTCCCATCCCTTCTGCAGAAGCTGCTGACTTTCCCCATTTCCTCACTGGTTTATGTGGCCCCCCAGCCCCCCCGGAAGTGTGGGTGGTTCCTGCAGCTGCTGTGCTGGGCACTGCAGGCTGTCACCCTTCACCTCCTCTTCCAAGCTGGGAGGCCTGTCTGGGGCGCCCACCCGAGGGTTCTGCCCTGTCAGGACAGGCATGTGTGGCCGCACAGGCCGTGTTCTGCACAAGGGCTCCCAGCCCTGGGGACAGCGGGTCCCGGGGCCAGGCTGCGCATGCGCAGAGGAAGAAGGACCTGTTACTAATTTGTACGTGGCCGTGGACAGGCCGTCTGCCTTTGGTCCATTCTCCCTCCGTCCTTGCCCGACTACCTCCACGTGGGAGGTTCTCTTTTGCCCCAGATTGTCTCCTGAGTCACCTCTTCACACCTGTTTGAGGCTTAGAGAATTTCAGCTGGAGGACTCCGAGAAGAGGAAGGCTGGCCGGGTGCGAGAGCAGGAGAGCTTCCTGCTAACAGCCTTGTTGGGAGAAGAGGTAAAGGGAAAGTCAGGCGGGGCCTCGGAGGGCCATGGGTGGGGGGTGCACAGAGTGGATGCTTGTAGGGCGGGACCAGGCCAAAGTGCTCACTTGGGGTCATGCTGTGTTCAGGACGGGCTCACTGGGGAGACAGGACATTCCCCCGGGATGTCGGTGTGCTGGGTTTGGGGCTGTGTCCCCCCAGAGACATCGGCACTGGCACACCCTAGTCAACACCTTCTTTATGTCTATGTCTCCAAGGGGTGTCTCCCACACGGCGGAAAACACATGGTGGCTACAGGAGCGTTCGCGATACAAAAATCCATCAAGTTGCACATGTCATTGTGTGTGCTACGCTTGGACTTGATATGAAAAAACAGAAACCCCCTCCACAATCACTCGGGAGCTGAGATCCGGTCACCTGAACAGCCCCACCACCAGCTTCTGATTCAGCAAGTGGAAGGGGGCATTTTCCTCTGCCATCCTGATGCTGCCAGTCAGGGCCACACTTTGAGAACCATTGGCCTAGTTTTCCAGGTGGAGTGAAGCCAGGCTGCAATTAAGTATTTCTAGGGAAATGTTCCCAGTAAACTGTCCGAAGGGATATCAGTCAAGGGACATGAAATATCCACAGCTCTAATTTGCTGCGATTTCTTTTCCATTCTAAACACTCACTTTCATACAGAATGTTTTATTCACTTTTTTTTCTCCTGTTTTCTTATCAAGCATCCCTCCAAATTGTATAAGCTTCAGTCCCCACACAACCAGGCTTGTGCCTGCTCATAAGCGACACATTAAGTCCTTCTGTGCAGAACAGGCCCAGGACAGGGTTTGAAGGAGCAGGGTCCTCAGGAGGCTGCTGGGCAGGTGGGGGCCGAGCCGACTCGGTGCACCTCATACCATGTGGCCCTTCCTCTGCGTGGTCTGATACAGGAGCCCCAGGAGGTCCCTGATGGCTGGGTGCTGAGGCTGAGACGCTGAGGCATCAGGTGACCTTCCCAAGGCTAAGTGCCACTCCCCAGCTTCCCCAGCTTCCCCGAAAGGCCACCATTCCTCTCCCTGCTTCCGCCTCTGGAATGGGCTGGTGGCACAGCCTGTCTGGGGGCCCCACCCCCAGGATCCTACACAGCACGGAGGGCCAGTGGGCAATGGCAGCACCAGATGCGGGCTCAGTGGGTCTCTGGGGTCTGCCAGGGAGACCAGTCACTCCCTCATTCCAGGGCATGCCCTCCTGCTGCCTAAACGCATACCCAGAGCAGCAGCCACCAGCCAGCCCTGGCTCCGCACTGGCCTTTACTCATACCTCTGACCACTGGAAGTTGCCAGCAGACAGGGACTGACTGGTCCCTGGGGGACCCCTATGGGGGCTGTAGAGGAACCCCAACATGAGGTATGGGGTTCCCTGAGAACACAGGAGAAGAGGCAGGGCCTGGGGAAGGCAAAGTGGGCCCCCTGGGGCCCTGGAGAATGTGAGGGCTAGTGCTGGAAGAAGGCTGTGGTGCCTGCAGCTGTGGGAGGAGACCTGGCCCCAAGGTCTGGGACCAGGTGGGGGACAGGTCCTGCTGGGGGTGAGGCCTCCCTTTTCTGGGAACGAGGCCACTGGCAGAAGGCATGTGGTTCACGCTGAGAAGAGGCCGATGGGAGAGAGCCTCAAGACAACCCCGGCCCATATCACAGGGCTCAGGGGAGAAGGCTAAGCGTTGGAGAGCTCTCCTTTAGTGGCAGCTCAAAGACCTTTGGTCAGGTTGACACAAAGGGGGTTCCACCATTCTCCTGGAGGAGGGGGAAGGGGAAGCTCTGGCAGAGGAAGATGGTTGGAGGGACCCCAAGATCAGGCTGGTGGTTAGGGGAGTGGGCTGGCCCCTGGCTCCCCAGGGTCAGAGTGGCTCAACACCCTGTGCGGCCTGAGGTCCACGTGAGGGTCTGGGGTGCACATCCCTCTCCCAGGGTAGGAGAGGGCAGAGACAGGACAGAGCTGTAGTCCATCCAGGGCTGCCCACGAGGAGACTGCAAATGGCCCACTGACGCTCTCTGGGACCACTGTGCCCATCTAGAGCAAAGGCGGCCCAGGGAAGGGGGTGTTTTGCTCAACGATACCTGTGAAGTTAAGTTATTAACCTTTGTAATCTGACCAGGGCCAGAGTGGGTCTGAGGGGTGAGCCAGGCAGTGGGTGACAAGCCAGGTCCTCTGCCCTACCCAGGCCTCTCCTGCAGGGCCACCCAAAGACACCCTGGGAAGAAGAGACCAGCCCTGAGCAGTGACAGTGAGAGGGCCCAGAGTCCAGTGAGGTGACACCAAGGCAGGGCCCAGATCTGGCCTGGAAATTCTGCTACACGAAATCCCATCCTGGAAGGATCCAAATCAAATAGAAACTTGACCAAAACAATCAGGTCTTAGGATGATGTGCTCTGTGCGTATGTGCACATGCACACACACGCACACACACACACACACACATACACACATGCACACACACACCCATGTCCGCAGGAAACTTGACCAAAACGATCAAGTCTTAGGATGATGTGCTCTGTGCGTATGTGCACATGCACACACATATACACACATGCACACACACGTGCACACACACACCCATGTCCGCAGGAAACTTGACCGAAACGATCACACACACACACATACATACACACACACACACACGTCCGCAGGTACTGGGTGCACACACACTTCTCCGTGCTCAGATGCCCTCTATGGCCCATCTCCCGTCAGGCGGAGCGCCAGCGGCCGGTGCTAGGGACTCAGTGCTGCTGCTGGCTGCCGATGTGGAGGCTGTAGAAGGCCCAGGGCTCAGGGACGTAGATGACACCTGGGTACTTCTTCCTAAGTACAGGGTCGTTCCACAGCCAGGTGACCCAGAGTGCCACCAGCAGGAGGGTGAGGGCAAAGGAGTAGAAGAGGAAGAGGCCGTTGCTGTCCAGGAAGAGGCGCTTGCGCTTCTGGTGCAGGACGAGGGCTAGCATGGCGAAGAAGGTGAAGATGAAGAGGATGAAGATCTGGCCCTCAGTGACCAGGTACCTGAAGAGGCCAGGGTGGGGGGGTGAGGTGGGTGCCATGACAGCTCCGTGCTGCGCAGCATCGCTCCTGGTACCCAAGCACCAGGCTGCCTTCCCAGTCAGTCAGGATGGCTCGCCTGACAAGAGGCTCAGGGAACCACACCACTATGAGCCACAGCCCATAGGCAGCATATTGATTTGGCTTGTATAGTTACTATTTTTTTTATGTGTTGAGTTTGTTACCAATATTTAAGTAACAGATTACCCAAGTCGCTCTCTCGTTTCTCTGGTTACATTAGGCTTGCGTTACAGGACAACTGATCGGAGGAGAAAGCAGCTGCTGCTTTAGATCTGTTTGCCACAGTCCCTACCATTCTCTATTGTCTCACTCAATGCCTGCTTGATGCATTTCTTTTACCAGCTTGGTTCCTTAAGGCATCTGAGTTTGAGAATGCAGTTACAATTTATGGGGGTTGTCATTACTGTCTCCTTGAAGGCTGGGACTTAGTCTCAGATCTCAGAGGTTCCTGGTCGCTCCTAAGGCAGTACTTAGCACATGGCCAGGAACCCCATAACACTTGTTGAAGGGCTTTTGAGAAGTGGTCTGGTCTACTCTCCTGCCCCTTGAGAACCACAGTTTTTATCCATTTCACTCAAGGAACTATAGCTCTGAAACCTAGTGGCTGTGTGACCTCAGGGTTATTTACAGTACATCTTGGAATCTCTGTTTTCTTGCTTATAAAGGGGGTATGTAAATAGTGTTCTCAAGGTTACTGATGAGAGCTGTGTACATCTCTTACTTGGAAAAGCATATTGTTCAGCAAATGGTTGCTGCTATGACTGTGGCCATCACTGCACGAACATTCTGTGGGCAAGAATAGGGTAGGAAGTTCTTTCCCATGTCTAACCTCTTTCCTTCTTGTTGGAGGTGCCACCTATTCCTTTTATTTCTGTCCTCAGGGAGCATGCAAATTTGCCTGGTGGACCCTATCAGCTGGTCAAGGGACAGAACCTGACAGTGGCTGAGGCTGGCTCCAGGAAAGGTTGCCCTTTTCCTTTTGAGGAAGGCCCCCCGTCAGAGAAGGGCCGAGTCCTTCCTAGGATACCCACAATCCCCCTGGGTGGAAGTAACAGAGGACTTAGAGTCTGGCTGAGGCCTGGGCCCTCTGAAATGGGAAGAGAGACCAAGAAGGAATGAAGAAACCAGGCAAGCAGCTCCTGAGGCTCTGGAATTTCACCCCCCACCTATCCTGTCCTCTCCATGGTGCTTTGTAGTCTATGAAGCCCCTCTCTCCCCCTGGATTCTTACCATCTCCTGAGAGGAAGACAGGTATGTATTATCCTCATTTCAAAGAGGAGAAAGCTGAGGCCCACGGGGCTCTATGGGGCTTGGTGTTGGAGTGGGGCCCGTAGAGGTGGCACTGGGGTTCTGGGAGGCAGGGTTCTGGGGGGGCTGAGGACAGAGAGGCCACACTCAGGCCTGGCTTCCTGGAGCAGAGGGGACACCATAAGGCACTGTCACGGTCCCCACCAGAGGGGGGAGCAGGGGCCCCTGGTGTCACACTGCAGGTCTGTGGTCTGGAGCCCTCCCCCCGCCCCTGAGGTCTGCTGCCTACTCACCAGTAGTACAGGCCACTGGGCACCACCAGGAGCAGGGCTGCCCCTGGCATTGAGCTCTCAGCTTTCGTGGGAGTGAAACAGCCGCTGAAGTACATGAAGAGGATGAGGAAGAAGGGGACGTACCTGCGACAGGGAGGCCTGGGCCTCAGAGGCCTGCGCAGCTGCCCGTCACCGGCCCCCACAGGCCCCTCCCCCACCTGTTCTCGCACTGGTTCCTGGCACCTCACCTAGTTTGGGGAGGGCATCACCCCTGCCAGCATTTTTGAGCTGGGGGTCCAGGGAGGGACGGGAGGGAAGCAGGAAGAGGAGGCCTGCTCCCCGGGCACATGCAAATCAGAGGCCCGCAGTCTACGGGGTGGGGGTTGCCCTCCCACACTGCCCTGCCATTCCACTTACTCCACGCAGGTGTGTGTGGCGCCTCTGCTTCACCCCTGCACCCTATATACCAGCAGCCCCAGCTCCTCGCTGGCCTGGACCAGGGCCACCCAGAAGCACCAAAGGAGAGGCCAGAGGCCCAGGTTTAAAAAAAAAAAATGCAGAGAAAGGACACCTGCCCGGGTCGTCCACGAGCTCTGTGGGGCCCGCTCCCCTGCACTCCACCCACAGCCTCCTTCCCACCCCCCTGCGCCCTCCACACCCAGGCTGCTGTCCCACGTGCCCACCCCCGCCCTCCTGCCTACCCCGCACCGGCGCCCCACACTCCCGCTCCTCTCCTAGCCTTCCCCGCCTCTGTTCCCCCCTTCTCCTTCCTCCCTGCCCTCCATGGGAAGGGACTCTTGGCAAAGGGCAGGAACAGTTGGCAAGAGGCTTGTCCGGGGAGCCCCCCGGGCCAGGAGGACCAACTTTTCATGTTCTAAACAGACCCCGGAAACACCAGTGTGGGGCGTGTGAGAGGAGTGGGTGCACCCCGGTCCCGGGCTAGCTGTCACCTACTAGCCTTCACCCAGCACCAACCCCCTCCCCCGGGCCCTGCGCTCCTGGGCGGGGCGGGGCTGCAACAGAGGCCTGCTCTCCGCTTGGGCGCCGGACGTCCTGGGGCCCGGCCCGCACTCGTGAGGCGCCCTGCGGCCGCGGGGAGAAGGGGGCGCTCTACTGGAGTTCTGAGGAGGGGGACGCACACGGCTCCCCCCTGCCCTCCCGCCGGCCCGCCTTCGTCCTCCCCGCACGTCCCCGCGGCGGGAGGGGTGCTGATCTGCGCCGCGGCCTCCCCCGCCCCGCCCTCAGGCTCCAGGCTGGCGAGGCAGGGACAGCCGCTCGCTGCCCTCTAGTGGCCACCGCGGGCACTGCGGGGCTGGGGGCCGCCGGCGAGAAGCCAGGGCCCGGGCACCGCCCGCAGCGTCCCCGCGGGAGAAGAGCGCGCCCTTGCAGCCAGGCCGGGGGCTCTGCTCCACACCTGGGGCCCCGGAAGCCCTGCCCACGGGCCCTGGGGCCGGCGGCGGAACTGGCGGGCGGCCAGGGCTCTCGGGTAGGCAGACTGGCTGTCGTTGCTCTCCCGGCAGGGCGCGGCCCCATCACTCACCACATGGAGTGGCCCAGGTACTCATCGTAGTAGTACAGCAGCTCGAAGGAGTCGATCTGAAGGCGGCAGGGCACGGCAGGGTTAGAGGGCGACGTGCTTCAGGGAGCGTGCTTGGGGCACCTGCAGCCCTCCGGCCCCCTCCCTCCCCCACGACGCCCAGGCCTCCCCAGCTGCCCTCTTTCCCTACTCGCAGGGTCTTGCCCTCTCCCTGCGGGGGCCCACGTGGGAGCCAGTCAATGGGCCACTTGCTGAAATCATACAGGGACATCCCAGCTTGGAGGTGGGGTGGGGACAGAATGTCTTTAGCAGAAGGTCAGGCACTGAGACGGGCTGCAGCAATGCCCTTGGCCCAGAGGACAGGCTGCCCTCAGGCTTCCCCGCGGTGGGGGAGGCAGCCTCACCAGGGTCTCCGGCCTGAGGTTCCTGATGATGGGATTCTCACGGACGGACAGGTGGTGCTGGTAGCCGCTGAGGAGCAGGCGGTGGTTCACGGAGTCGCCCACCAGGTGGATGCTGGCGCCCATGACCAGGGTGGTGACGCTGACGTAGATCAAGGGGCGGGGCGGGGCGCGGGGGCACCGCTCCACGAGCTACGGTCAGAAGGAGCCCAGCGGCGTGACCCACCGTACTGACACCCCGCCCGTCTCCCTCACGTCTGGAGTGGGATAGCCACCACCAGCTAGAAAGGCACTCGGGAATCGGTGAGGCCCCTTGGCGGGCCAACCAGCCTCCAGAACCACACATATGTCTGTGAACCTAGCAGGGGCTGGGGAACCGCACCCCTTCTCACTGAGGAAACAGACTCTAGGGGCTGGCTCATTGCCCAAGGTCACACATGCTGGAGGTGACAGCCAGGCCTCCAGAGCCGGCGTCCAGGTTCCGGGCCCAGCCATCCCACCATCCCCAGGGTGCCCCTGCATGGCTGGGCTGACCTGCCGAAGGGACCATCTGATTTCCGAGCCACTGGTTCATGGCAAACACAAAGAAAATGTCAGTGATGGGGTAGCTGCTTCTGAAATTAAACCATTTAACCAGAGACTCCTCTGAATTCTGAGATTATACCCTCCCTACTTTTAGAGATTTGAAATAGTTTTCTAAAGACAAAATGATGGGGATAGTAGATGGTCACAGTTGTTATTAGAGCCCTTATTTGGCAAAGTGCAAAGCTGGCAGTCCTAGCGAGCTTAGGGCTCCAGTGGCATCTCAAAGGCAGGGATCTGCAGACCATAAGATAGAACAACTGGCCCCTGACCTCAGTAACCCAACCACTCCTTGTGCCTGACCCTCCAAATATATTATGGTTTCCCAACATGGCTTTTCTTCCAGTCCTTTTCCCTGAACGCTCCTCACCTACTTTACCCCCTGGCACACCAGGCGGAGGCCCAAATAAAATGCCTCTCCTTGGGGATGTCTTCATCCCTCCCAACCAGAAGCAGCCCTGCTCCCTTGGGGCCCCAGGCCCTTGATGTGCCCCCAGGCCTACGTCAGGAAGGAAGGGCAGGGAGCCAGGGACTGTACCTTGAGAAGGAGAAAGGGCGTGATGAGGTTGTAGGCCATGTGGAAGTAGTCTCCCATGCTGGGCTTGTTGAGTGGAAACCATTCGAGAGGGAATACCAGCTGCGGAACAAGGGGAGGATTGGTGTTCAACTGGGCACAGCCCGTGAGACCCTCGGAGAGTCAGCCCCCACCTCCTCTGCACACTTAATTCTCTGTGATTTCTGCAGATCCTCTCAGCTGCCCCAGGGCAGGTGTATCCAGACAAACTGAGTCTCAGCGAAGGTAAACAGATTTGTCCCCAGGCAAAGAGGTAGACGCAAATCCAGAGACTGACTCTGCGCCCCTCTCCTAATGGGTACCCACTGAATGTCCCTGGGTACTAGCCTGGATGCTGGAGGCTACGTTGGGATTCAGCTGTGACACCACTTTCTAAGTGACCCTGGACAAGTCCTTCCCCTCTCTGGGTTTCCCCATCTGCGGTCCTGGTGGTCTCCCTGGACCCTTAGGGATCTGGCACTCCAGGCCTTATAATGATGGTAAGATCTCCTCCCCACTAGGCCCAGGCATGGGAAATGCTCTATCCACTGCGCACCTGGGCCCCCTCCAAACCTGGTCAAAAGTCTTCATTAGGAGACAAAGAAGAAAATAGGTGAGTTCTACAAAGTAGCTTCACTTCTTTCCCACCTTCCCTGAGAGAGGAGGCAGGCCAGAGGCGGTCTCTCTGCCTGGAACGCCCTCTCCTCCTATTGGTCTACCCCATGACCCCGGCCTTGTCAGAGCCAGTGTGAAAACCCCTATGTGAGGTTTAAACATTTTAAAACTCCCCACCCCGCCAAACTGTACTTCCACTATCTGTTGTTTGAGAGCACATGTAATGACTACAGATGTCAATCGAAATTTAAATACTTATCTCTTTTAATTCAGAAATGTTAGATAAAACTAACCCAGAAAAACAAAACTCCCAGGCTACAGGAATCTCTGTCCCTCTCTTTGTCTCTTACTTGGTGTGTGTTTACCTCTACATCTTTAGCTGTATCAAGATATATACATTGGTTAAAATACTCTTTGTGATAGCAAAATACCAGAGATAGGCTAACGCATCAACCAAACAGGACTGGTTGAATACATTATAGTACATCTATCTCTACTATAGACGGTTAAGTAGCCATTTACAGAAAGGACTCCTTGACATGGAGATAAGCCATGATATATTCTATAGTAAGACAAGCACGTTGTAGAATAAGGTATAAAGTAGAATCTTATTTTGTTTAGAAAAGAAAAAGAACATAGATACGTTTGTATAAGCAGAGAAAGGACTGGAAGGGTGTGTCCCAAACTGTCAGGGGTGGGACTGGAAAGGTAGAATCTAACACTTCACACACCTGGGTATTAACTGACTTGCTACAAACTATTACATAATACTTTTGTAAACTTTTTTTTAGTTACTGAAAATTTGGGACCATCGTGCTTACATTTGAACAGCTCCAGTGTATACATGAGCTTTCCAAATGTATACTCCCCGTCAAGCCCACTAGAGTTACAGTGGCAACTCTGGGCAGGATGGGGGAGGTGAGGTGCCAAACGGGAGGGCCCCAGTAGGCCACCTGCAGCTAAGGCCCAGTGAGTGAAGAGAGCCCTGGGCCTGTTCCTGGTCTCGTCTCCTCACGCCCCATCGCATCAGTTTGATGGGCAGCTCCTCTGGCTCTCACTATGTGAGACCTTCATGCTGGAAGGGGGCTCGGAGCAGCCAGTCCAGCCAGTCTTCTTACAGGTGAAAGAACGGAAGCCTAGAGGACAGTGACTTGTCCAGTATCACCCACAAACCTGACTACATGCCCTGACTCCTAGCTCAGTCCCTTTTCGTTCTCCCCCAGTTAAAAAACAACATATAGAGCTTATGCTTCTCCAGCAAGTCTGGAGAAAGGAGAATCAGCATCTACCATAAGCCTCCCTGACACTTCTGCCAGGACAGCTTTCCCTAATCCCGCTCAAGTCGTGTATCCCGTGTGTACAAGATGGCTGAGATCGTCACCGATTTGCTGTCAGTCAGTATGCATGCCTCTTCAGCACCTTTTTCATCCTTAAACATTTCAGGTTGCTCTATAGTATCTGTAATTCCTGTTTGGTGGCCAGGTAACATCCCCTATACTGGATACAGAAAGCTGATTTACCCAGTCCCTACTGCTGGACACTAAAGTCACTTTGAAGTTTCGGCTACTGCAAGCAACACTGTAATGAACATCTGTGGGTATACAGACTGTTGTCTTGCTGATTAGGGCTTTGGGGCAGATTTTCTTCACAAGGGACAGTTTTGGTAGATGACACTAAGAATGAACTGAGGATCAGAGTGACAAACAGTTTATAAAATCAGCCTATCTTCATCACCTTCAGAGCAATAATACTCTACCAAGGCTGTGGGGAAGGCTGGTGGGACATTCTGCTTTCTTTCCTGTATTCCTCTCTGTCTGGCTTGATGATTTGGTCAAACTGGGATATGGGAAATCAGTAGGAGGGCACAGGATGCCTGTTTAGGGCCACCAGCTCCCCTGTGAGTCAAGGCACAATATGACTATTCAGGCTCTCAGACCTCCCATTTGTTGGCAGGTGCCCTGCTGGCCGAGGTCCTGTACCTAGAGCTAAAAGACAGGAAAGCACCCAGGTCTATTCTCATACTTTTCTGGTAGGGGAAGTGACTTCGGTATCTAAGGACACTCGGCTAATTCAAGTCACAGTCTCCTCATTGCTGGCTGGGGCTCTGTCCACAGCTTCACACTCACCATGGCAATGGGGCGGCCAAAGTCCAGAACCCAGTTCTGCACAGTGAAGTAGAACCACAGGTCAAGGTGAAAGGGAGCTGTGCTGGCAGCCTCATCAGCATTGATGGAGCTGTGCCTGGGAAGGAAGCAGACAGGGTCAGCTCATCTCCTCTCTTCCCGTGGGAATCTCCCCCTGAGACGAGCCACAGAGAAGTTAATGGGATTTGGGGACAGGAGGAAATGCACATGATTAAGTTCTATTTTGCAGGACCTAATGGAGGTGGGGGTGTCCTGGGATGGACTCCAGCTGCCCTGACGGTAGCTTAGCTTCTGTGATTCAGAAAGGAGCTGCCAAACAGGAATAATAACTCCTGGGCTTTCTCACCTATAGAATGATAGGAAATCAAAGGCTGCAAATGCAGCAGCTAAAATATGTGAAACACAGTGATGGATGATAATAGCTAATCTTTATTGAACACCTGCTATATTCTAGGCACTATTATAGCTGTTCACATGTATTACCTCAATGAACTTTAATTTTTAAAAAAATTTTTATTAAGGTATTGTGGATATAACCTCTTATGAAGGTTTCACATGAAAAAACAATGTGGTTATTACATTCACCCTTATTGAGTCCCCCCCCACTCCCCATTGCAGTCACTGTCCATCAGTGTAGTAAGATGCCACAGATTCACTATTTGCCCTCCCTGTGCTACACTGTTTTACCAGTGATCCCCCACACCATGTGTACTAAACATAATACCCCTCAATCCCCTTCTCCCTCCCTCCCCACCCGCCCTCCTACACTCCTCCCCTTTGGTAACCACTAGTTCCTTCTTGGAGTCTCTCAGTCTGCTGCTATTTTGTTCCTTCAGTTTTGCTTCGTTGTTATACTCCATAAATGAGGGAAATCATCTGGCACTTGTATTTCTCTGCCTGGCTTATTTCACTGAGCATAATGTCCTCCAGCTCCATCCATGTGGTTGCAAATGGTAGGATTTGTTTCTTTCTTA